TTAGTTTAAACACTTATCTATTGTTGCATCTGTTCCTGCTTTCACCCACTGAAGCATGAAGTGCTTCACTTGCCTGCTTGCCAATACCTGCCTATGTCCAATACAATGTGCCAAATTCTTTGACTGTAACACAAAGAACCTGACACGCAAACTCGAATGTAACAAGTTCAGAGTGAGTCCCAGCATGTATGTATTGTAGCTGGGATGTTTGCTACATCAGTAGATATTGTGATTTAAACCTTCAAGGAGTGCAGAATAAATATCATTTATACAATTGTTTGACTAGTTCTGATGTCGGAGTGCAAGTTAGTTTTTTTTTGTTTTTTTTTAAGTTGTGCTAAATCCCTATATACATGTCAAAGTTAGCACACTTTACTAAAAATAATTTGCTCCAGTAAAAGGATTTTAGTTCATGATCTTACCTGCAGAAGCAATGTGACAGCTAAGGAGCAGCAGCATTAGCTTCATCGTCATATTTAGAAAGATGGAGTTGAAGTGAAGACCCGAGAGAAGAGTTGTGTGGTTTTACAGGTTTGTTAAGGTTTGTTTCCCGGTGCAAGTTTAGTTCACACTATCAGTATATGAGGTGTGCTTAACCTCAGCTGACACTCAGCATACTTGAACGGTATTCCTATTTTTTTCAGTTCCAGTAATCAAGACAAAGACAACTCAGAGACAATGTTTATCTTGAATTACACTTCATGAAAATGCAGTTTCAAGCCCCATTGTTGTAATTGTGAAAGCATACAATACAATAGTCTAATTAACCTGTTGTTATCAAAGAAAAGTGTTCTCAAGTTCATCTCCCTGTTGGAGCTCAGTCTGGGTGGAGTTCTTTTTTTCTCCTCGTCTTTCTTCATGTATAAAACCTGTGATCTCTTATCAAAGTATTTAATCAGATGCAATGTTTATCTTGAATTACACTTCATGAAAATCAGTTTCAAGCCCCATTGTTGTAATTGTGAAAGCATACAATACAATAGTCTAATTAACCTGTTGTTATCAAAGAAAAGTGTTCTCAAGTTCATCTCCCTGTTGGAGCTCAGTCTGGGTGGAGTTCTTTTTTTCTCCTCGTCTTTCTTCATGTTGTGCATTTTCTATGGTTTCGGTTCGTATCTTAAATGCCCCATGGGGATAGAAAAAAGTCTTTTTGACTTTGAAAATAGGGAAACCAACATGAGCAAATGAGACCTAGTTTAATTTTCCCAGTGAGATAATAACAAACAAATCACAAACTTTGTAATCAGCACAATCGGAGTCGAGCATTTCTGATTTGTTGCTTTTTTGTGAAAGGAGCCCCAGTATAAAGAGTTGTGGAGGAAGAGTTTAGGTAGGACGTCTACATTGTGTTTATCGTTGAAGAAGATAACATCACAGGAATTACTTATCATGAACCTAAGGATAGGATGCACAAAACTAAGAGTCAGGCTTTTGAATGAATTAAAACTCTCTGAGTCTTTGGTAAATTAAGAAACCAGAGTGGAAGCTGTTGCCTCTCCTCCTCCTCGCCCTGTAGTTTGAGGCTTCTGAGACTTAGGCTACATCCACACGTACACCGGTATTTTTGAAAACGGAGATTTTCCGTTTTCGTTTTAAAAAATAATCCCGTCCACACGTAACACGAGGTAAACGAC